CTATGTGCCTGGTTGATGAATCGATGGTTTGAGATGCTACGACAGGAGAACCCACCGTTGGCGAGAGGATTACTGTTTGACTAGGCAGTAAGATGTAGCAAGCGGGAGAACAATTCATCTAATATAGGAATACTTGAACTACCAAAAATCTGGTCTCGCACTTCGTCAAGTTCACTGGGAAGCCCAACACGTTTTGGAACTATGAACATCTTTTGTTGTTGTTCCAACTGTTTCTCATTATTAGCAGTGATTGATATCAGCTTATTGAACTCCTCTATAACTTCCTAAACTTGTCCCAAGTAAGTAGACATGTCCATTTCCTGCTTTTTTAATAGTCTTTTGAGAAACCACATCACAAAAGCTAAGAAAATAACATTAGCGTATAACACACGGGCTTTTTCCAAACCAAATAACAAGTTTGGAATGGCCGAAACATGTCCATCAACATAGGATCAATAGAGTACCACAAATAACTATGAGCATCAATCATCCACGCTTGTATCTTCTCATCAATCCCTATAGTTGCACTTTACCATGTATTATTTTATACTTGATCAACTGCAAGTGAAAACAGCTTAGTACTAAACATATTTAAATATAGCAATTTAAGTTAGTAACTTGACTATAAGAGAAATTGCATCTTATGAATCTGTTTGTATTGCTCTGGCTAGGATGACATTGCTCCTGGGCCCTCCTGGTTCTGGTAAAACTACATTGCTTTTAGCGCTTTCAGGGAAGCTTGATAATGGCTTAAAGGTCGGTACTAGCCTATCTCTTGTTATGACTTTCAGATTTCATAATCAGTGTCTTCCTTAATGGAAGTTGAGTTCTGTTGAAAAGATTCCTTGATGCTATAAGCTCTTTTACTCGTTTATACATCTTACATTCGAGATAGTTACTCTCAATGAGATGTATAAATCATATTCATCTCAGATTATCATCTTTTGAACATTAGTGGCTCCAAAACTGTAGTATAATTTTTAATTGACCTAATAAGATACATCACTAAAATACTTTGTAACTTGGAGCTAAATGGTAGGAGTTTTGGAGATTTGGCAAAAAGAACAAATATGAATATGAGGTCCTTATTTTTCCATGCTTTGTTGAAAACTTATAGTATATATGAACTATCACTTATTGGAATGAAAATTTTACATTATGATAATCAGCTTGAAGTTATGATGTAAGTTAAAGCTGAAGCATGTCCTTTTCATGTAGACAGTAACATGCACTCTCAACTGTTTCATGCTTATTGTTCTTGACTGCTTAGATCAAACCTCGGGTGCGGATAAATTTTTTCTTGCAAAGGATTACTAGAGATTTTATCATGAGCGCAGAACTACGTGTTTCTATTCAATTTATTAGTTTCAAATTAATGTACTCGTGGTGATGATTTCTTTGAACGCGGTTGCTGGCTAAGTCTACTTTATTTTTCTCTTTGCTTTCTTGATGTTTTATCGAAAAATTAATTTAGAATGGTGAAAAGTTTAGGCTTCTGACTGTTACCATGGCAATGTTTTACCCTCCCTTAATTTTGCTGGGGGTTTTTTGTGTGTGTGTGTCTGTTTGGGNAGTTTTTTGTTAGCTTAATTTGACGGGCATGTCTTCTTTGAGATAATCTGCTTCCTAGGCTACCTTTCTAACTTGCACGATTTAATTAAGATAACTTCACTTCGCTTTACTTCTTTAAAGAGCTCGTGCAGACGTTGTGTTCCATTGAATTAAAAAAAGAGAAAAAAAGAATACCATATATAATTACGTAACTCTTTGTTTCAGAAAAGAGGAATTATTACGTATAATGGACATAAGCTGGATGAATTTTGCGTGCAAAGAACATCAGCTTACATAAGCCAGACAGATAATCATATCGCCGAGTTAACTGTAAGAGAAACCTTAGATTATGCGGCGAGATTCCAAGGTGCAAGTCAAGGTTTTGCAGGTTTGTCTAAACATTTCTACTTCATGTACTTGACAATTCTATTTTGGTTGCTCATGCAGATGTGTGTCACAGCTTTCCTGAAATCTCTCATATTATCTTTGTTAAGAGTATCACTTAGTAAACAAATTTGTTGCACAATTAAGCTTGCTGAACCATGTTATATCCTTGTGCTCTATATATTTCTTTAAATTATCTGGTTTTGTGCTCTCTGCATTTTCATGTACTTCAGCTTGCTTTGAAGAATATAAGCGAACTAAACAGAATCCATTCGCATAAGAAAAAGATCAAAGCCACTTACCCCCCTCCCCCTCCCCCCCACCACCAAAAAAAAAAGACATTAAAAATGTATTTGACTTCCCTAGAACTTGAATAGAAATAACTTAAAGGAAAAAGATCCCAGAAAATTAATTCCTAAACAGAAGTTCAGGAAATATGTAGAACTGAAATAGCCGAATATGCTAATTTCTAGAAGTCAAAATGTTACTTCTTTATTGTCATTTGACCCATGAGATAAAATAAAAGGATAACAAGATTATTGCAACACAATATTTGTGATGGCTTTACAGCAACAAGCTAGATCGAAGGAGAATGGAATTGAACATATAGGTACTTTTGGAACTTCTCTTTTTCTTTATCTTTTTTTGGCCTGTTATGTACAATGCCTTTTATCTAGTTCCATAATTTAGCCTAGTGGTGAAATACAGAAACGAGTAGTAACTAAATCCCCTGCCACACTCGGTTTATTCTATTGACAAAAGGAAGTAGTGTACTAAGATTTAAGAGCATTATATTTCCAGATAATATCTTTCCTAATCTAATCTAAACCCATCACAAAACTTCTTCACTTGATTACAAAGATATCTATGGTGATTGTTTCCTGAAATTGAAAGAATATTTAGAGCAAAGGTAAATTCTGTTTCTTGTCATGTAATTAGTGATTGATAAATCTCCAAATCTGCCTGCTTATCATAGCCAATTAAGGTGTTTCTAATATGACATAGCATGTTTCCTTCCCAAACCTGCCCTGTTATTTTACTTGCAGACTATATGAAAGACATTGATCGTCTAGAGAAGGAAAGGAATATACGTCCAAACTCTGAAATAGACGCGTATATGAAGGTTTGATTTGAGCTTCTCTATCTTCCAAGCATTCATGTATACGATATGGTTTTCTCATGGACTTTTATGTCATTTCCATGTTCATATTTGTTGCAATCAATAACTGTTCAGGCATCTTCTGTTGGTGGTAAGAAGCACAGNTAATTGAGCAGTACAAATATTACCTATGCATAAATTTGGTTTGTCTATGAGGTGGCATGTCTCCTCAAATAGTTGGGTGCTTGAAGTAAGTGAGATCAGAGGCGGATCCAGGATTTGAATTTATGGGTTCAACCTGTAAATTTTTTAGTATTGAACCCATTATATTGTTAAAGTTATGGGTTCATATCAACTATTTGTTCCTATTTTAAATAAGTTTACATATAAATTTATGTTCCGCGTCGAAAGTATTGGGTTCAACCGCCACCGCTACGCTGGATCCGCCCCTGAGTGACTCAGTGAGATAGCTTGAGTTAGTAAATAGTTTCGGGATATTCCCAGAAGACTTCCTATTTTCTGGACGTATGGAAGGAAAGTAACGTGGCTACATGGAATTTCAGTCCAGATGACAGAACAGTTGCTAATAATGGTTTTCCATACACAGGCGAAATGATTGTCGGGCCCAGGAAAACACTTTTCATGGATGAAATATCTACTGGACTTGATAGCTCTACAACGTACCAAATCGTCAAGTGCATAAGAAATTTTGTTCATTTAATGGAAGGAACAGTGTTAATGGCGCTTCTTCAACCTGCACCTGAGACTTTTGAATTGTTTGATGATCTGGTATTACTCTCTGAAGGATATGTCGTGTACCATGGTCCTCGAGCAAATGTTATTGAATTCTTTGAGTCATTAGGATTTCGACTGCCACCTCGTAAGGGTGTCGCAGATTTTCTTCAAGAGGTACTTTTCATTTGGTTCTTTATAGCCCCGGGGTGCATTTGGTACTTAAAATTAGTTTGTTCGCAGGTTACCTCAAGAAAGGATCAGGCACAATACTGGGCTGATAATTCCAGACCATATGAATACATTCCTGTTCCTGCAATAGCTGAAGCGTTTAGAAATTCCAGATATGGGCAGGATTTAAAATCCTCCCTTTCTATTCCATATGATAGATCCAAAGGCCATCCTTCAGCTCTATCTACAACAAAGTTTGCTGTTCCCAGATGGGAGCTGTTTAAAGCTTGTTTCTCGAGAGAGTGGCTTCTAATGACTAGGCATAGTTTTCTTTATATCTTCAGAACATGTCAGGTATGCTTGTAAGCTTACATTCTTTACACAAATCTGTGTCACCTACTTTCATTTCCTGCCTCCAATTTCAAATTATCAAACTAATGTAATACTTATCTTTTATCCTTCCATAAACTACTCATCATTTACACATCTTAACTACAATTTTCAAGACTCTTAATTTAATTTTCTGCTCTCCAAGCTGGCCAAACAAGAGCATCCAAATAAGACCGAGGGATTTCTCAAGAAACTTCATGATGTATGCTCATCGTGAAGTTATGAGATTAAAACGCGATAAGAAAATATCAGAGTACTTGAGCTGGTTGAGAGTTCGAGTCTCCATTATACCTCGTATTCAAGTATGCATGGTCCTTCAGGCCAGTATGACTTCTAAGCAATGATGCACAATTTTATATTCAGTATAGACGAGTTGGGTATAAATCAAAGCTTCAAAGGAGATGTCATTTGGGCTCTAATTCTTCTAATGATTTGGATTAGCGCATCAAGTTGTTTCTTAGACTCCGTATCAGCCCCTGCATCAATAGCTTGTCATTTTCAACGTCTCTATAGAGTTGTTAGTCTCTTAATTTTGATGTATCAAAGGCTTTTCTTACATATTTTGCAGGTTGCTTTTGTTGGATTTGTAACATGCACAATGTTTCTAAAAACGCGGATACACCCCACAGATTTGGTGAATGGCAACTTGTATCTTTCTTGCTTGTTTTTCGCCTTGATTCATATGATGTTCAATGGATTTTCAGAACTGCCTCTCTTAATATTCCGCCTCCCAGTATTCTACAAGCAAAGAGATAATTTGTTTTATCCTGCATGGGCGTGGTCCTTCTGTAGTTGGATTCTGCGTTTACCTTACTCTGTAATTGAAGCTGTTGTATGGTCTTGTGTGGTATACTGGGCTGTAGGTTTCGCACCTGGTGCTGGGAGGTATGTGCAGTTTCTTTCTTTTTCTTTTGGCATGTTCATTATTTTTTGTCATCACCCATATAGACAAAGCTACATTTCATTGTTTATCCTACTTATATCCCCTTTATGTTCCAGGTTTTTCTGCTACTTGTTTGCACTATTTGCAGTACACCAGATGGGAATGGGTCTCTTCCGATCAGTAGCTTCTATTGCACGAGATTTAGTTATCTCAAATACAATTGCGTCAGCTGCACTGCTAGTCACATTTTTATTGGGCGGTTTTATCCTGCCAAAAGGTAAGTTTGTACTTTTCTCTAAATATTTATAACAGGAAGTAATTTTTATTGAAAGGGGGTCTATCCTTGCAGGAATGATCAAGCCATGGTGGGTGTGGGCATTTTGGGTTTCACCATTGTCCTACGGACAACGAGCGATTTCAGTTAATGAATTTAC